TTGTTTTGTTCCTGGCATGCACAGAAGCCAAAATATGCTTCCCACAGCCTGGGAACTGCTCAACTGAAAAGTGAAAGTCGGGAAGAGCTGCCTGAAGAAAAATAGGTCATGGAGGCTTTACATAAAAATCACAAACAAACCTACCAACCTGCAGTAGGGCCCAGCGCGCTGTTTTCCTTCAGAAGCATCCTTAATGAAAGAAGCCGTGCAAGAAGAGTGCCCTGCGAGCAAAGATTTTATCTACAATAGCTTTGATTATCACCTAACCTTTTCCTGGCAGCGTACCTCATGAGCTGATCCTAAGTATGTCCTTGTCCTACCCTTCTGTGGTTAGGGGTGTAGAGTATGCTGTGATTTGGTATGTTGAAAAGCTCATTTTCATGTCTGCTTTCATTCTAGCTTTGTTCCTTCTATGATAGGATGTGGACCCACACTATACTTGTCAACGTGTTTTTTTTCAGGAAGCAACTATAAATAGGCACTGCTGAGATGACAGCTAAACCTCAGCTTAGGGCAAGCCAGAAATGTTTCCTTGTTAAGGCCAGAAAGCCATCTCTCTTTTGCAGTGCTGGAAATGAGAAGAAAAAAAAAAAAACACACCCAAAACACCATGAAACTAAAAGCTCACTAAAAAATGAAACCAAACACAAATATGCACACACACATTTATAGGACTTCTTTTCTGGGCAAGGCTTAGGAACAAAAAGCAGACTTTCACTGAAGTGAAGGGCAACCACTGAAAATTACATCAATGGCATCATGTAAATCAAATCAGCACCAGTCCAGCACCAGGACTGACTGAGATGTTAGACAGCCACGTCCAAACAACACCACCTGCCCAAGGAACCCCATTCCATGGGCATAGACTCACAGTGGCAAAAATACAGAAATACAGAGCTACAGATATTTCAAATTGGGAACATGTGGCTGGAGGACTCGGCAAACACCCCATGTTCCTTGTTACCAGCATTGCCACCACAGCCCAAAGTGACACATTTCAGCTCCTTCTCAATGAACTTTGAGTGCTCTCTCCCAGGCTTCTCTGCCTTTTCAAAGGAGAGAAGACCCAGCTTTTGGCAGTACGTGTTGCAAAAGCGTGACGTACCAGGAGAACAGTCATTGTGTTGGTAAATGCAGGCTGTCTCCTGAATTGCTTAATCTTGGAGGGGTGGGGGGTAGGGATATACAGGATTGTTATATGAAAGGCCAGCCCAGAAGAAAAACAGATGACACAGGGTATTTCTAGGCTACTGAGCTACTCCACTGACCCCGGCTCATTGAACAGCTCCGGGCAAAACGCTTTCTGGTCAGGCTTTTCGTGGTGTCTCTCCCCACTCCTCCCAGCTTCCTATGAAAGCACCCCAGATTCTGACAATAAAATCATCAACCCTCTTACATGAACTTTGCCAGTATTTCCTTCCCATCTGCCCACTTTCACACACCTCTGCAAAGCCTGGTGTCTGTGACCCAGCATAAGCAACCTCAGCTTAATACAGCTACAACCAGCAGCTCTCTTCCCTCAGACTTTCCAGAATGGTGTCTCCCTGGTGATTAAAATAAAGAAATAAATAAAATAAACATGAACAAATCCCTCACTGGCTACATCTACCCACTGCAGCTGAACTGACCTGACTCCATGGCTCAACCAGTCTCCTACCAAGATCAAAGCCCGTGCAGTTGTCCGAGCAGCTTTTCAATTACTCCTCCAGTTTCCATCATGGATTATAGAAGCGCTTGAAGAGTGCCAAGCCCCAGAGGGATCGATTACTCCTGCCCTGTGACAGGCAGCAGGCTGAAGGGTACAGGAAAAGCTGGAAGCGAAGTGGCATTACATTATGTGTAGGCACAGTTTTGCTGTTGAATGATTGACAATAACTACTGGATGTCACTATTTTGAGGATAATGTCATTTGCGTAATTATCTGGCAGGGTCTCTCTTCAGCAGCTGGCATTATTCACGAGGGAAGAACCGGACTGAAATCCAGCTGTAGAATCAGTAGATTTGCTATTCTGTGCAGACAAACACTGTGCTTTAGAAGCTCAATATGTATGGGATATACATCACTGGCAATATTCGTACTGTCAGAACCTGGAGAATATTACAGTGATACCCCTCTATATTACTCTGCCACATATATCACATGATTTCATACTTTAAAAATAATTTAATATTCTCTATCTTCACCTGACCATCTGTTTCTTATGGAACTCAAGCTAGGAAGAGAAGGAGAAGTTGCAGTTCCTTGATTAATCTCACAGTCTCACCATCAGACAGGAGATCACCCTCTGCACCACCCCTGGCCCTTTCACCAGCTTAACCCTCAGCTGTTCTGTCTGCAGCGTATCAAAACCCAGGTTTATCTGATAGAGGAAAACACCCTGCTAAACAGCATCACCTGGGCTGAACTGTTCAAAGCCCAAAATCAAATGGCATTTGAGACTGGCTGGCACTGGAACTGCTCCCACCCCAGACCCAGCTGTGGGTGCTGCTGTACAACTGTACCAAGCAATCAGAGGTGGCATTATTCTGTGCTGTGCTGAGTGCCACAAGTAGGACTGAGCAGGGCCACGGCAGCCCATCCCCAAATATGCCTGCTTTGCTGACAGAGCCCAGGTAGCAGTACCCAAATCAAACAACTGACTGCTCCTCCTTCCAGTGTTCTGGGCAAGAGGATGCCAGGGGCATTATGCAAAGTGCGTCAGAAAGAAACCTTTCTCTTTAACTAGACTGTCTCAGAACAGGCATCTCCTTGCTCTAGGCTCCTGTGCCACTCCAGAACAGGTCTGGCTCTGCCCCTGCCTTACACAGGAGGTGCTGGTCAAGTGGTCATCTTGCTCAGGAAGGCCTCCCCAGGGCAGACAGGCTGGCTGATCCACGCTGGCTGGTCCATGCCTTGGTTTGGCAACACAGAAAGGAAAAAATATAACAAAATTGCCCTCCTGGGCACAGGGGGAGGACAAAAGCAGGGAGCTACATGTTCTCAGGAAAACATTTCCTGAGAACAGCCTTGAGATCTGGGGTAATGGTGCTCCGACCCCGGTGCAAACACAAAGATGCCAAACACAGACGTGGATAGGAAGGAAAACCTCCTGCTGTAGGATCATGGCAGGAACGAAAAGACAATAACTGAGCTGAATGGTATTGGATAGGTACGTTGAATAAATAGGATTTAAGCATAGTCCCATGGCTAATACAGGGAAACAAACACACTTGGGCGTAACCAGCACCGATTAGCCTTTAAATAACAAGGCATGGAGCAGCAAAGGCAACAGCTGCTTGTATTTACCTCCCAGAAAATCTAGGAAGGTTTCTCTGAATGTCTGCCCCTTTATCATCACTTTGATACGTGCCCCACAGCAGCAGCATGGGGGAGGCTCCTGTCGCTCAGCAGCAAACACCCTGCGGCCAGGCAGCCCCGTGCTGCACACAGGCACCTGGCAGGGCAGAGCAGGGGCAGTGCTGGGCTGATGAGCAGCCAAGTAACAGAGCAATGGGAACCGACACCAACACAAACATCCCGTGCCTCGGAAGGAAAGCGATGTTTCCTACGTGTCTGCACACGTCATAGGAATAACCCCCCCGCAGACAAGAGAGCAGCCAGAAGTTTCACTCCTTCCTGGAAGCCGGGTGCACCTCGGATATTGTGCAGGGGGAACGTGGAGGTGCTGCGAACCCAGCTGACAACTTGGTCCTGGTGACAGCAAGTGACAGCTCTTTACTCAGGCAGAAACCTCCAGCCGTGGGGTTCGGACAAAGAGAATGAATGAAAGCAGAGCTCACCGATAAATGATGCCTCTTTCATGGAGGAACATAAGGGCTGAAATAATTTCGGCAGCATAGAAGCGGGCCCGATCTTCGTCGAAGCGACGCGACTTCTGAATGTGGAACATCAAGTCCCCGCCATTCACGAACTCCATCACAAAGAACAGGCGATCCTTCACACACGCAAACACAACAGATATGAACAGCGTTAATCACATCCTCTGTCAGCCTTACCATTTGCTAAGTAGTAGCTCCCAAATAAAGCCAGATTAAGTACCCGTGAGATGTTGGGGGGACAAAAAATAAAAAAATCCTGATTTTTTCAGGAAAGATTAAGCCAATACCAGGAAGATCTGATAATACCCTGTTGCCATGTGCTCCCTCCACCTCCCAAACTTTTGCCCCCAGGAATGATCTCCTGTGTACATGTGGGTTGGGCATATCAGCAGGTGCCTGCTCATCACTAACTGGCATCTGGAGGGTTTGTTTAACTGTCCTCAGCCTAAATCCAGCAGCGTGTGATACCCCTTCCGCAGCACTCTCTGAGCTGAGCAGTCAGAAGAGAAGGCTGTAAAGAAGACATTGACTCCCTGCTAAACATCGTAGCTTTCGGGGGGAAACGTTTCCTAATACCCTGTGCGTAACCAGACTGCAGCTTCACCACGACAGCACAAGAGCAACAACAACGCTGTGTCTGGGGCATCCCGACACTATTTCTAGGGAATGTGCATTGTCTTACAGAGATTTCCTGCCGTACACTTGCACGGCAGCTGCTTTTAGGCCTTCACATGTTGCCTTTCCTGGCAGCTCTGATTAACCTACAGATCTTTGTGTGATGAAGGAACTGAGAAGGACAAAGTATAAACTAGAGTCTCTACCAGGCAGAAAAGCAACTGGTTCAATAATGTTCAGCTCATTAACCACCGCTGCTGGTCTCTGAGGTTTCTTTAGTCACTTTGTTCAGGTTTTTGCAGAAGTCTCCAGACAGGGAGACGCTCGCTTAAACTCTGTGTGTTTGACAGTCCAGGTGCAGGCGCACTGTGCCAAAGGGGTGCCCCCTTAGCTGGGAGAGAATGGTTACACAACGATTTGTCACCAGAGTAAAGCCTAGAAGTGTTTCAGACTCTTAAAATTTCCCCGAGTGCTTGTTTCAGGACATTCAGCATTGATCGTTTCAGTTTTACTCTGAGTAACAGGAATGAACAGGCTGGAGAAGAGGCAAACGATTCACTCGAGATCAGCCAGCCTTTTACTGGTACAATTTGCCCTTCTCTCCCCCCAAAACCCTTCCCAGGTCTGACATTAATCACCTACAAGCTCGTTTAAAACCCTCTCTAAATTTAAGAGGATAAGCACTGCCAGTCTCCTCTTGCTGGCAGGCAGCCAGCTTGCAGCGACTGCTGGAATTAACGTCCCGGGATGCACGCAGAAGGGAAAAGAAAAGCAGCCAGGAAGCCTCTCCATCCTCTCCGTCCATGAGCAGGAGAGCAAACTGCTCGTGCCAGAAGAGGTCAGATCATTTCTCGTCACTGCCCTGGGCTCAGCCCAACAGCAATTTTGGGCTCCTTCCCGAGGCAGCAGAGCTCAGGTAGGTGTTTCCCAGCAGGAACAATGCAGCTGCGTGCAGCACCAAGGCCATGTGCTCCGTGCCACTTCCAGTCCCCGCAGACAACACTGCCTCATTGTTTCGCTCTGCTCCTATCTTAGGGCAGCCAAAACACCCGGGCTGGCTCAGAGCAGCACAAATGCAAAGGCGGCGGCGACCTTGGATCTTCATCCCGCAGCAGATCTGTACTGCCACATCTCGCTGCAGTTGGTGAGGCTGAAGCTGGCTGTGCTGTGCCTACCTGTTCTGCAGCCTTTCCTCCAGTTATTTCTTCCCTCCTCCTTCCACACTGATCACTCCACACGCCACGTGCTTACCTAGCTCAGCTTGCTCAGGCATCTTTGCAAGCCCACACTTTAAAAAAAATAAAAAAAAAAAATCCCTTTTGCCAGGTCTTCTACAGGAAGTAATTTAACTCACCAGCAACCTGACGAGGTATGTGTGTATTTATGTAAGATATATTCTTGTATAAACATGCACACGGTTAGGAACATTGATTTTCTACTCTCTCCTTGAAGGTAAGCTTCAGGGAAACAAAGTTAACCCTTCCTCTCTCAAAACATGCAGGTCCTGCTGCTCTGGTGCTGGCAAAACTCCGGGGCCTACCTCAGACTTCTGGACAGACCTGCAGGTACTGCAGTGCTTAAAGGAAGGTGCTTCCTCCTCAGGCGTTCAGGTGAGCGCTGAAACAGTCTAGCATGAAATTTATATACGACTGGCATTGGAATTAGCAGCTTTTTGGTACAAAGAGCTCTTGCTTCAGACTAACTGCAAACCTGAGTGAGTAGCTTTGCCTGTGTTACACGGTGCTCACAGGTGCAGCAGGTATTTCTCCTCCACCTGTGGCCTCATTGCACAAGTCAAATGTAAATATGGATTATTTAATTACTGAAGCTCTCCCATTTAGGCCTAACAGGACTTTTGATTACCCCAAATTTTTATTTTTACTTTTTTAAAAATCCATCTAATCATCTACACAGTTTTCTAACACTCAGAAACCCCTTGTATTTGCTGAAGAAAAGGGCAGGATGGGTTATATCTTGTCCATAAGCCAGCATTTGTGCACTGGCCTCCTACATACCTGGCAACAAATATTAGAAATCTCAGCCCTAACGAGCATCCTTTGGGACCAGGATCTAGGATCCAAGCAAGATCTGCCATTTTCCCTCTTAAAAGGTCATCAGCTTGCCAAGCTGCACAGACCAAACACTCTTCCAGGAATTGTTGATAAGTAAAATAAACAGTGGTATTTTATGGGGAAAAAAAAAAAAAAAAAGGCAATTTGCAGCACGCAGAATAAGAGCGGATAAATAGCTTAAAAAGGGGTCAGGAAAGGGAAACCTTAAAATAGCAGATAGTTCGGATACTTGAGGGTTTGACTCTCCCTGCCTTTCCTGAGGCCAGGTGCTGTGAACACGGGGGAGAGGAGGCTCAGCTTAGCTCTGATTCACCTTGGTTCACTGCAGCTCCTCCCTCGGGTACACCCTCAATTGCCAGGTGGAGTCGTGAGCCCCCTTTTTGGGGACTCCTCAGTGGGAATCAGGAGGAGGAGAAAGCTGGAGCGCCTTGGCCAGGGCTCAGTGCTGCAATCCTCACGACTGTTTTCTGTTTTGCATTGCTCACGAGTTTTCCCTGATTTACTATCTCCTCTTGACGTTAGCAAAGTAAGAAAGAGCATTTGAGTCAACAGGAAACGGTGACGCCAAAGCCTCTGCAGCAGCGGCGGCCGCATGAGGAAATCACATTGCACCATTTCTGCACTGGGATCGAGGCGAATAAAGCCACAGAACAATTGTTACTGCAAATAAAGAAACACTGGGAGGAAACACAACGTCCATGGCATCAGGTGGGCCCATTTCGGGGCTGGCCTACATCTCGAGATCAGCCCTGACAACTGCAGTGAGAGACAAGCGGTTGTTCATCTTGTTTGTTTGTTTGTTAATTTATTTGTTTGTTAATTAATTTGTTTGTTTAAATGTGAGTTTGCCGTGTCTATTTGCCTGCTAGCAGGGCAGGGACCCCTAAAAGCACACACTATGTCCTGAGACCAGTCCAGGTGGTGGTTACCACCCCTACCAAACACAAGCACTCACCAAGCTCCGGTTCAAGCACGGGTTTAGCCCTTTGTCCTCCCCAGCTCCACTAGGAAGCTGTTTTGAGTCCTCATACCATTCCTCCTCAGCACCACAGCAGGGGGAAATCCAGGTTTAACTAAGAGACCATCCCTTCCCTCCCCATACCCAAAAAAGGCCAGCGCAAAGGCAAGTTTCTACCCACTTCCAGCTAAGAGTCAGAGCCGATGCCCATGTGTAAGCCACATGAGACCAGTGTCACACCAAAGACCTCTGAAAACAACCAGGGTGAGAGCCTCACCTCCTTTCACACCACGTAAATGTGGCAGGGCAGCACCATCACCCCAGTTCAAGAAGTGTGGAGGGAGAAGGAGGGGAAGAGACGTATTTCCTATGTGCAGACAGAGAAGAACATAACGAGGCTGCTGTGCCACGGACAGCATGGAAGATGGAAAGGAATTCTCTCAAGAGAGGTGTTGGTGGAGGAATTTTACAGAAGCCTCATCTGTAGCTGACCACTGCTGTCGAAGGCAGCATCTTGAGATGAGACTTGGTCCAATGTGGTTTAGAGAAATGGTCCAGTTTTTCAAAAAAATTCGTCTGGCTCTGGAATTCTGCTATGCTTGCACTTCATCCTTTTGGAAGCAATTCATGCACACAACTCCTTAGAAAATCAGCTTTGGGCTTGATCTGAGTTCACTGAAGCCAAAGGGTTTCCCCAAGAAAACAGTCATTTTTCACTGTTTTGGCAGTTTAAGCTCTGCAGAGCGGAAAGCAGGCTTGCAAAATTATCTCCGTACAGGAACAGCTGTGTCACTGCTACACAGCAAAAGTTTATTGCTTCCAAAAACGAGTAGCAGGGCTTAGGGAGCTTGCAAGCAAATTCTTACAAGATAATTACAAGAGCTGGCAGGCTCCCTCAGCGCTCCCGATGTTCCCTTTCTCCCTTTGTGGTCCACAACCCCCACACCAAGCCATCCGCCCTCGGATGTCCTGAGACAAGCCACACGTCCAGCTCCGCCAGCAGCGCCAGTGACCATCCCGTATCTGGGTCAAGGCGCTGGACCCAGAGGAGGAATAATAAGCAGGTTTGTTTCCCAATATTTACCCTCGCAGGAGTAACACAACCAGCAACCACGCTCGGACGCCGCTCTGCGCCTTCCCTCCGCGCCCAGCCCTTCGGCCGGGGCAGCGCGGCGTCCCCGCGGGCCGCCCGCCGCTCCCAGCTACGTGGTTTGCAGCAGGACGGGCTGCTCAGGTGGGTTGAGTTACCCTTGGAAGCGTTTCCAAGCCGGAGAGGATCACAGGCTCCTTCAGAAAGGGCTCACCACAAAGGAGGTGCTGGAGCAACCTTCACACGGGAGCTGAAGGAGCCCAAACGAGCTCAGCCCTGAACGGCCGCGTGGTGTCGAAGCAGCGCTTGGGCTGTGATGGAGCAAGACGACAACGCCGGGCAAAGACTCGGTCCTTTGATTTCAAATCAGTGTAGTTACGTGAAGCAGAAGAGAAGAAACAGCTCCACGTCGTGCTCGCTCAGCTGGAATTATCTGGAGGCATTAGTTACGCTTCTTACACACGGTCACAGCGACGACTGCCACCGGCTCCTGCCACTGCTCTGCCACCCCAGACCCCAAACAGACAAGGCAGTGGAAGGCAGCAGACATCACAGCAGCCTGCTGGCTGACCGTCGGTGCTCTCTTGGCCATTTTCTCCCTCTGCTTCAGTGGCTTCCGAGGCACGTGCCAGCCCCAACAACCACTTATGCCCAGGAGAAATCAGACCATGGCAAGGGAGCGTGTAGCGGATGGCACCGTACAGCCCCGGGGCTATCGAGATGGGAGAGATCGTGGTGTGCCGTGACACATCCAAAGGGCTGAGAAGGGGAAGGTTGCTTTCTTCCTTCCACTGCTTTTTATTTTTATTTTCTTTTTGCAGGCAGGAGGTGCCATGAAATTCGGACTGAGAGGTGGGGTAAGCTGCACGCTGCGCTTCCTCACAGCTCGGCTGCATTGGAGTGAGCGAAGGCACTTGTGAGAAGCACGGGTTTCTTCCCCCATTTCGGGCTCTTTCAGCAAGGAACTGCTGCTGTCATCGTCACAACTGCAGAACAGAGCAGTTATCTCTCACTGCTGTGCTCTGCCACGCCGCTGACAGTGGGCACAACGCTGCCTTCCCTACGCAGCAGCAGCCAGGCACACAAACATCGCCTGGGGAGCAACAAATTGGCTCTTGCCATTTGCATAAATAAACTCTCTGGGGTCCCTCGGGGTAAAGGCTGCCCCGCGTGTGCATGCGTGCACAGCGCAGCATTAATGCTCTGCTAATTCCAGAAGAGCTGCACAACGACAGCCACAGCCCAGGCCAAGCCAACAGCAGCCACGGGTCCCCACCTGCTCCAAAAAAAAAGTCCTGAATCCAGCTGCATCCTTCAGACTTCAGCCCGTGTCTTCTTCGCTGCTGGGCTGAAAGTTCAAACTCACAGGCTGAAGAGTTTTTGTAATGCAAGGTCAAATGTGATCCTCTCTCCGCGACAACACAGCCCTGGAGATCTGCAAGTGAACCACATGCGTAGCTGCCCTCCTCATCCCCTCCCCTCAAGATGGTCTAAATCACAGTGGGATTGGCTAATTTTATGGCCAGAAACCTTCACTCAACATAAATGCAAATGGACAATTTTTAACCACTTTTCTTCATTTGTGTCTCTTTCACTAGAAGCAAAACAAAGAGCCCAAAATCACAGGCACTACATCAACCAGCTAAATTACATACAAAAAATAACCAAAAACCTACGTAATCGCAATTCAAAAAGGGAAAAAAAAAAGTGCTGCCTTGGCCACTAAAACAAAATCTCCTAAAAGTAAAATACAAAACAGAATGAAAGAAGAAATAAAATCTTCCCCTCCAGACCTTATTAAACGGCATAGAAAATTACACAAACACTCCTTCCCACCTGAAAGATCAAAAGCCAAAGGGCTGGCTGAACTTAGGAATAAGGAACTAGAATGTATCAAGCTGTACACATCACTCATTAATCAAAGTTTTATAGGACATCTGCACCCCTCAGCTAGCTGCTAACATCCCAGGGTCTCAGAAGAGGGCAGCTCTGCAAAGCTCAGGCTGTTTTCACATCTCCCAGTTCAGAACAAAGCTGCTGGAATTTCTGTTCCCAGTTTGGATTGATCAACCCGAGGCAGCTCTGGCCTGTTTTTCAAAAATCCCCACTACTTGCAACATCTCCTGGCCTCAGATTGCACTTGGGGAAAGCTAGAGACCTCTGAAAGCTCAGCTAAAGGTCTGCAGGAAAATCTGAGCAGCAAAACAAAGGCTTTGTGGATCCACCCTCTCACCTGACACACTGCCTGGAAAGCAACTCGGGTTCAAAGAGATTTAAACCTAAGGCACTGCTGGGTTGAGCCTCAGCTCGTTAGCTCATCTCTGCCTTTTGCTGGCTTCCCCTCCCTTCCTCACGACTAACTGGCACTTGCCCGGTCACCCTGTTTGAGAGTTGGTTTCATTTCAGCCCTTTTTATGCCACAACTTCCTAGATTTTAAGGCCAAAGAAAAATATTGCTTCCATTTACTGCGGCTAACCATGTGCAACACGTCCTTTTGTTACCCTTGTGCTAAGCTCGATAGCTTTGCCTACCAGGTACAATCTCTCTCAGAAGGCACTGCAGACGGAGACAGACGTTTTCTTAGCTTCATAAAAACACAAGTAGCCCGAGTCCCTCAGCAACTAGGGCAGGAAAGTTACACTAAGAGGCTCCAACAGCGCTAAGATGAATGTAGCTAACACTTCAGGTCGCATTTTCACTTCAGCTCCTATCACCTCGGTGTGCAGGGGAAGTGTGGACACCCAGCGAAGTTCGCAGAGAAAATCAGAAATGTCAGCCTGATCTTGTTTCACCTCCTGAAGCCCAAACCACTCTGCCTACAAAAAAAAACATGACCACAAGAAAGCCTGGTTTTGAGCGATGTGCCTTTATTCCGTGACACACAGGAGGGATTGGATTTGGGCTGCCAGCAATGAAACTGAAGCACACGCTGGTGTTCCAGCACGGCAGCCTGGGGCTAGCACTGGTCTGGATGCTTAAGAAAAGGGGAAAAAGGCCCAGCAAGCTTGCAGGGAAGCACCACAGAGACGCACTTGGCTGTCAGGTGTATGCACAGAGCAAGTTGTACCTCCTGCCATGCCACGGGGGGAAGGCTGGGGGCTAGAGCCTGGGAGACGATCAAAGCTCTCTCCCCTGCTCCCAAGGGGCTGCCCCGCAGCGCCCTTTAAAACAGCACATCAAAGAGGCCTCAGCATTTCCCCGTCTCCCACTGGCACGCTCCGAGGCCTGTGTCAGGATGCTTTTTCACCTCACCAGACCCGGGAAGACTGCTGCTCACTTTCTAGAGTCCCTTACCTCCACACCTCCACCACTGTCCTGGGGCTGCCCCGTGCTCTGCTCACTTTGTGATGGTGTGGAGCAGCTGATGGGGAACCAGGATGATCCTGGAGACCCCTGGAAGATCAGGACCAAGGGATTCTCCTGGACATGCGAGCACAGCCAGTCCTCTCCTGTGGCCCAGCGGATGGGGGAGCAGTCAGCCAGCTGCCTTTGCTCAGTCCTACCACTTCTGCAGGTGGCTGGTAGGCTCCCACATAAATATGCCCCCGTCAAAGGTTTCAGATTATCTTGAACACTTACAGGAGGTGAAATGCAAACTCATCTCCCTAAACACCTGCGGCACAATGCCCATGCTGACCCTGGAAGAACTGTTTCAGCACTCCAGGAACCAGAAGTGATGAAGAGAAACCTTCCCCTTCTGTCTCAAGCATGACATCAGCCCACAGCTTGTAAAGGGGGCAGAAAGCCGCATGCCCTCATAAAATAAAATGGTACCAGTTCAATGATTAGCTGCCCTGGAATCCCTCCTGGCTTCAGCAGCACCCTGCTAGCTATTATCTCTGAAGGACGCTTGTTACAGAAAGTCACGTCCCTCCGCCAAGTTCTCGTGTCTCACTATTTTTGGAACAGCGCACGCGGGCTCTGTGCCTCAGCAACTGTCAGCAGAGCCACACAGAAAGCAAATCCATATAACGATCAGACTAACAGGGACAGTGCTGGAAACAGCATCGCCTGGGGGACGGTCCCCTGAAAGCACCCTGTGGTCATGAGAAAAGGGATAAGGGCAATAAACATAAAAGGCAGAAACCTCTATCCTCTGCTGTTTGACACTATTTGCATGGGAAGCTGATCCCCCCCAGCCCTTCCATTCTCATGCAAAAGAGGTGAGACAAAAGGAATTAAAAGCAAACCACCTGTGCAGGAAGGATGGTGCCTAAACCCCAGAGATGACAGGACCGACTTGCTGCAAACTCATCTTAATTAAAACATTCCAGGCTCTGCATTCCCCAGGATTGAATTACTAACTCCACTAGTTATACGGAGAGCCTCTTTCACCTGGCCTAGGCCTGTATTGTTGAGGTGTTGGATGACACCCATGGCAGGTAAACGGAAAGGAGCAGTTTTGGGTGCTTGTGACCCCTAACGCAGAATCCGAGCTTATCCACAGGTCAGCCCCAGCACCTGTCAGCAGCTCACAGATTAGTGCAGCGGGAGCATAATCCTCTCTGACACTAAAGGATGGTTGTAAGGCCCTAGAAAAAGCAGAAGCAAACGGCTTAGGCAAGGTTGAAAGCACTCGAACCAAGACATTCTATTAAAAAAAATATTAAAATAACAGAGATTTATCTCAGTTTGTGGTAAGCAAGGGAGACCTCACACAGGTGCTGCTGGACCAGGCCAAACCCACTCCCTGCGAGGGACCAGCACAACTCCATCCCTTCAGAGGAAAGGAATCTGGAGGTGCGAGTCCCAAACTGCGCCTCCCTCCCTGCAGAGTGAGGGCCCTGCCCAGGGCCGAGCATGCACAGGGCCATGGCCAGCCTCTGCCAGCCTGCTGCACAGCCAGGGTTTGCTCCCTGGGCTCTGCAAACTGCGACCTACCGGGCAGAGACACCGCTTGCAGCTCCTACCA